AATAGTTTTATTTAATTTATAATTAAAATTTTTAATTATATAAAAAAGGTGAAATTATGTTTTAAAATTAAAGTATTGTTAATAAATCTAATTTTATGTTATTCAAAAGGGAAATTAGGAGTATAAATAGTTTCCTGATATTTAATAGCATTTTTTTTCAAATGAATTTATCTCATTTCATAATTTTTTTATTGGTATTAAAATAATTAAAACTAGGAAATATAAATATAAAGATGCTTGAATTTCAGATCTTTTCTTCATTCTACTTGTGTAGTAAACTCCTAATACTTCTCACAAATTATAATCTTTATATTTTCTGACAAACTATATTTTTTATAAAACTTATATATTTATTATTAATAGTTTGAGCATAATTCCAGTTGGTTCAATTCTAATAAATAATCTAAAAAAAGAAAAGACATTAGTATTATTTCTAATGCTATTAGTATCTTCTCATCTACCATCTATTATTTACTAACTGTTAAATACAAGAATAATCATTCAAGAATGTTTAAGAATATCTAAAGAATCTAAAAAGGAAGGCATTAGAGTTACTTTATAATGCTATTAACACTACTTATTCATTTAAAGAAACTTACCTGTCTAGATAAAAATCATCTAAAAATTATTCAGAAACTATTTAAAGTTGTTTAAGAAATTTTTCTAAAAATAAAAAGGAAAGAAGTGTTAGGAATGTTTCTAAAACAAAAAAAAACTTATTTTTATTCATTAAAATACTATTTGAGATAAATGTTATTTTTAAAAAAAATGATTATCACTAAAACTAATTAGAATCCTATTCTTTTTCTTTTTCTATAAACTGACTAATTAATTAATTTAAGATTTAATAAAATTTTTGGAATTTGTAAAAATTAAAAATATTTATTTATTTAATTAAAATTTATTAATATCTCCTTTTTTTTGTAGAACTTATCTTTGATTAAAAGCTTAATAAAGATTTCAGTATCTATAAAGGGATAAAAAATGATTATTTTAATTAAAAAAATTATTAATAACTGCTTTTCTTCATAGAATTTACCTCTAATTAATTTAAAGCTTAATAAAGGTTCTAATATTTATAAAAAAATATGATTTTTTTAAAATATAATTAATAATTTATTTTTCATACTGATATTCTTCATATTCTTCACTGTCATATAATCTGCAAGATTATGATCCAGGATTAATCATAATAATCTGTTTAATAAAGTTAAATTTATCCTTTTATAAACTTTACAAATTTGAGTTTTCATATGACAATAATTTATTTTTTAGATGTATTCCAAATATTTGTCAAATTGTTAATATCTTGACAGAATCTAAAGAAATTATAATTAATCAATTTAATGATAAAAGATTTTTAAATTGATAAATACTACTAAAATATAATATATAAATAATTTACTTATAAATAAGCAATAACAGTAGTTTAGTATTAGAAGGTTTAATCCATTTATTATTTCCTTGTACTATAGATTTTGTTTGAAATACACATTAGTAATTTTTCAAGAGGTTCAATATCAAATACTAGAATAAATAAATGTCTATAAAAATCTATAAATTTAATTATGACTATTTAAATGCATGTTATATTAACAATCTTTCTGTAAAGGCAAATATCTTTCTTTGATCAACTTCTCCAAATTATGTATATACTTCTAAGTATTCTTTATTCAATACTTATAAGTCTGATATATAATCTATATAATCTAAATAATAATACAGAATCAACTTATTTAACTATTTTAACATCAGCTTTTTTTGTATCATATTTTATTATAATTGCATAAAACCTGTAATTATCTAAATTATATTTCTCTGTTAATTGATAACTGAATCCTACAATAAAATTTAATTTGTTGATTGGAACTCTGATTAATTCTTTATAAATATTTCATAATATCTTGTTCAAATTTTAAAAGATTAAGTGAATACCTTTATATTAACAAAAAAAGTGTAAATATCAGCTAAAATAATTGTGATATAAATGTTATTAATAACAATTATATTGATAATAATAAAAAAGAATAATAAACATTATAATAGAATATTAGATTTAATGATTCTTTGTATAATAATAATAAATGTGATAAATGAAATTCAGATCCAAGAAAAGAAAATAAACTTCAACTACAGATGATATAAATGGTTAATTTGATAAAAATTTCATGTAGATTGTCATAAGCTATCAAGTTAATATTATAATTTAGAAATATTTTTCTATTATTAATTATGTAATATTTATCTTATTCAATTAATCCTAATTTTTTGTGTTGATTTGGTTAAGTCTTTCTTTATACTATAAGACTCTTTTGATCTTTTAAGTGTTAAAATTAATAATTTGGTGTTTTGAGAATAAAAACGAAAAAATAAGGTTATTAACAAAAATCAATTTTAAATTATAATAAAATTAATTTTCAATTTTGGATTTTGGACTACCAAAACTCATAAATTTATTGAATATATCTAAAACCCATCACTGAGAATCTATATGATGACTATTATTCTAATCATAAGATTGATTAATTATGAAATTTCATAACTTGCTGGTTTTTTAAATCTTCAATATTAAAAACTTTATATTAAATTATCCATTAAATTATCCTTAATCCCATAAAGGTTCGTTCTATGAAAAATGAAATTAATATAAATTGGTTACCTCAAGCTAAATAATCTAATATAATTAAAGATAGCTCCTCAACTTATTTTCAAAAATAGTTGCAGTTGCAACCTACTGTATATAAAAATATAGAATTGCGGATTGTAGGTTGCGATTAGTAAGGCCTAGTTACAATGCCATTTTTAAATGTAATAATTAAATAATTAAGTAAAATAATCAACCTTAATAAGTCATTATACTTCTCCAATCTTTATCCTTCTGAATTTTTTTCAAATCAAAAATCTAAGCATATAATTATAAATAAACTAATCTATTTCGATTCTCAAGGATTAAATATCACAATATATTATTTAAAATTTATTAATTTTTTTAATACTAGAATCTAGTAAAAAATCATTAACATCTAATATTTAAAATAATAAAAATTCAGAATAATTTCAGAATAATTAATTTTTTAGGATTTTAACTTTATAATTTAAACTTTAAAAATTTTACTTTGAGATTTCATATTCGATGCATTAAAAAATTATATAATAAATTATATTAAAATATATTTTTATATTTGTCTAATAATTCTCAGAAATACATATTCAAACATCTGATTTGTTTTACTTTTAGGTTTATCTGAACTAATAATCATATATTGTAAATAAGAAAATATAAAGAACTGTTAAATAAAGAACTATTATACTTAAGATCTGAGATTTCTGAATCACAATACTTACCTTAAATATTTCTTTATTATCATGATATTTCTAGAAAAATTATATTTAGTAAAAATTATTGAGAAACTTTTGAAACAAAGAATGTAAAAGAAATTTTTTTTTTGTTTGAATGAGAAGATAAAATGGGTGAAATTTTTATTAGATTAATAAACGGGAAAAAAATCCTTTTTTATTTTAAACAAATTATTTTCTTTCAATGTAATTAATTTAAAGGGTTTGATTTTAATATTATTCCAAATATTACAATCAGAAAAACGACGATTAGCAAAGGCCGTGTTGTGTATTATCTAGATTCTCGTTTATTCGGAATCATTATCTCCTTAAAAAAAAAAATTCAAAATTCAATTTTCTACCACTTTATGATGAAAAGAAAGGTGTTTAGAAAAAAAATAAAATTTCAAACTTGCGTTATCGCATTGAGAATTTTGATATACTGTAGCTGCAGTTAATTATTTGAAAATCTTTGATAAATTTTTAATAAAAAAAGCCACTATACCATAATTAGATTACAATTAGAGCTTCGGATTCCATACTGTACATAATAATTTACACCTCGTAACATTAAATACGGCAAATAAACTCTAAATTAAAAATAATTCATCAATGACAGGAGATGAACATTGATTGATAAATGCTCATTATGCATTAAGCTAATGCCCCTTGAAGAATAACCCCCTTCGAGGCGACTCATGCAAAAGACACCTAGTAATATTGAATTCACTTAGATGTCAGAATGAATATATTGAAAATCCTGCAGACTCCTTGTATACATAATAATACCTTCAGATGTACTGTCCGGTATGAGCTTATTGGGCCACATATCATAACTTTCAAAACAATTTTCATTTAAGTTATATAAAAAAAAAAGGCATGTAAAGCGAAATATATTTATTAACATCGATTAATGAAATCATTTTTATTTTATTGAGATGCGAAACGTGTAACATCAGCTACATTAATTTTAGTCGAGGTAAATATTACACGACGCACATTTTCGCGTCAAAATTTGAACAAAATTGAGCGTGGTTTCCGTTATGGATGTCGACTTGTTTGAATTTTTTTTATGGGTCAAGGTCCAAAAAAAAAAAAAAAAAAAAAAAAAAGGTTTTGTTAAAAGAGGTCAAATTAATTTTAAGGTAATTCTTATTTAATAAGATTATTTTGGTATCACAAAATTTGAATGCTGGGACTAGCTGAATTAATATCAAAACTTCTCAAGGGATTTACATGTTTAGTAACCCACGCATTCAAATGTAATGCAAAACGCCAACATACACGTTTACATAATTCAAATGTAAGTCATTGTTAACTGACAGAATATAGACGCGATTTGTGAGGTACCTCACTTTAAAAGTAATGGATTAACATTACAGAGACGTAGGTTTCAAGATAAATAAATATGCAAAATAAATAAGCAAATGATGTTCGAAAAGTAATATTTGAATGAAATCAATCTCATCACCATTAATGTTAAATCTTCATCCTGTACACATGAAGATACCAAAGACGAAACTTTAATTTCTTTTTTTTGGATAAGCGGCTGTGCGCATGTAACCTGCTGTGGGTGCATGATCGACATTTGTCACACTATAATAATGATAAAATAACATCTTTTTCACGGATTTATTCGAAACCAACTCTTCAAGGTTTCAAAAATGAAAACTTTTAGCATAAAAGAAAATGGAATCACAGTAAATTATAGCGATGCTATAAATTTAAGAATAAATTATCCAAACGATAAAAGAATTAAAATCTCCAAAGACGGATCAAAATTTATCAAAATCGATCATATTAAGATTGATCATTATAAAATACAAACAAAATGGTTAAAACCTCTTGGTATTTTAATTGCTAATTACTTACGACAAAAACAAAACTTACTCATTAGAGAAGGTAGATGAAAAGTATTTTAAGGGGATTAATTCTTTCATCCTTCAGGAAATTAATTCGTTTTTTTTTACCATTGCAGATCAAGAATACCTTTTGAATTTCCCTAGCGGATATGAATTTTTTGATTACGTAACCTATAACGATACAAGTTTGACGACTAAAGTTCGCACCGACAATTACTTATTTGGTAACTATTACTAAAACTTGTCATTATTTTAAAGAATTCTTTAAACCATTAAGTAACTTTCCTTTCATTTAGGAAAGTACAGATTTCGCTCAACTAATGAATTTTTACCACATTTGATATGGATGATATCAGATAAATCTGAAGAATGTGAATGTTGTTATTGTCCAAAAAATAGTCGTACGGCGAAAAAGAAGAGAGAATTGGAAATATCCGCCTCCACTTCTTTAGAAAATACCATGAAGAAACAAAGGATAAATAAATCAACACCTTTTTCATTACTTTCTATTTCCACCTTACCAAATAAATATTCCCTAATTAATAAATCACCAACCATTTCTTTCAATTCAAATTATACCAAAAATACTTTGCCAAAATTTTCTTCGCTTGCGCCATCTTATAACAATGATTCATCTTTACAAAGGGTTTCATTTTATTCACCAAATAATCCTCAAATATCAAAAATTTCATATTACTCCTTGAACAGCAATAACCACACTACCTCTTCCCCCTTAAAAGAATCGAATTCCTTTGATCATTTGTGTAAAGCACAATATAGAGTAGATGAAATTGTTTGGATTTGTTTACTAAGTGATGATTCAATGGAAACCTTTGAAAAAATCAACAAGGTTATCACAAATCATAATGCAAGGATCCCTTATTGGCCTGCTCGTATAACAAACTCAACATTTAATACATCGGTTTCAAAATATGTTTATACCGTTAAATTTATTTATCTCGTCGTTGAGGAAATCAATGTATTAGAGGATTATATTTCTCCTTTCTCTTTCTCTTTGGTAGACATCACAAATAAAATTCGATCAAATCAAGTAAAAGGTAACGATTATTTCAGTAACAAGCAGTTAAAAATATATATATATATCATAAATATTTACCAATTATTTTAATATCCTTGCTTTTCAAAGTCATTTGTCACTCCCATTATAGATATTTGGAAGTGATTTCGTGTGTAACACATTTAAAGAAAACTTTTACGCTATATTCTCCATCATATGACGCGGAGAAGAACTTGTATCACTACGACTCCATATTGATTGGTGCCGAAGAAATCATTTTGGGCGACACAGTTAAACTTGCATCTTCAACTGACCTATTTATAATCAAAGATATTACAAGCGATTCAGGTAGAGTTAATATAAAGTTCGTCGGTAATTATGTATTAGACGACAACGATGATAAACAACAACAACAAATACCACCACAACACCTTTCACAAATTTCAATTAATATAAATCAAATTGGTGGTAAAAATTACACTAGATTTCCAAGTATACAACATGACGAGATAACAAGACATCTAATTGATATGAACGAAAGAGAGAATTTATTTTCATCGCAAATGAATGAATATTTTAAAAATCTTTTACATAGTGAATTAAATATTGAGAATTAAAAACTTATGTTATTTATAAAACGTCAATGTCTAATACGGCCATTACCCCTCCTACAAGATGTAAACTTCCAGTCGTCAATACTTGAATCTCTTTCTTTGTTTGTTGATAATGTTCTCTTATCCAATTAATACTTCCTTCAATTGTTGAAAATACGTGAGTCTGACTATTAATTGGATCGTCTAATTTAGAATTTAATAAACTCCAATTTTCTGCCATTTGTTTTTGTAATGTTAAATTTTCATCAATTTTAATACTGTTGTTTTGTAAATCTGTAAATAATAATCATAATTAAATAAAACATTTAAGTAGATTATCTAGAATCAAATTTATTATATTACCATACCTGGCTTAAATTTATTCGTTAAAAAAGTGATATTCGTGCAAAATATCGCGTGATCAAATTTAATAAAAGGTTTGGTTGATGTAAATTGTTTCAAAATTTCCATTCCATCTCTAGTACTATTAAATACTAATATTCTTTCAATCTCATCATCTGTTTTCAATGCTACATCTTTAAACCATTCAATGCATGCCTATAAAATAATTGATTATTTAATACATAAGCAAACATCTCTCTCTAAATGATTTTAGTCATACCTGTGTGCTTTCTGACGTATGAGCTCCATCAAAATACCAAGTTATACCTTGATCTTGTGATAATTTTAAGACTTGCGATCTTCCGGGCCAAGAAACTTGAACCAATCCCGGAATAAACTCCTTAGGAATTTTTTCGGTTAATTTAATGCCTTTTTGTTTCTCTAACCATATCCGGCACAATTCAATCGCAAGCGATGCATTTGTAAATTGATGTTTCCCTGCCAATCCTATAAAATGATCAGAAATGATTAAATTTGATTTTATTTATTGTTATTTATTTATTTTGATTTTGATTTTTTTTTAAAAAATGTATGATGGTTAATAAACAAATATACCAAGATTTATTCTCAACTCATCTAACATTTCCTCACTTAGTGAATTGATTGGAATAAATGGTGCCTAAATAAATAGATGGACAAGACAGGTATATATAGGATATGCTAAAAATCTTTATACTAATCTCTTACTTACATTAATTTCACTTGCGCGTTTTCTCAAAATTTCAAAACCAGATGCTGGTTGTTCAGCTGTAATTGCTGGAACATTTTTCTAAAATAAAATTGGACTTAGAATTTACATAAAAGAATTATAATTTTCAATTATAAAGACTTTTTTTATTCTACCTTGAAAATACCACCCTTATGCCAAGATATTGATTCTATTGTATCACCCAAAGTTCTTTGATGATCAATGCCCAAAGATGTTACACCACACACAATTGGTCTTTCAATAATATTTGTTGAATCATATTCCCCCCCAACTCCAGTCTCCAATATAGCTACATCAACCTGATGCGGGAAAAAAATATTTTTAGAAATTTTACTTGATTTATTAAAAAACAATTACTCTCCGTATTATCATACATTCTCATTCATAAAAACATGAAAAGCCATCAAAGTAAGAAATCTGAAATAATTTGGCATGTTAGGTTGACTATCATCTTTCTATATTAAGGTTGAAAAAGGAATGTTAATTTTAATAGTTAAATTACATCAACTTAAAACGTTTTTACCTTTTTGTTCAAATAAAGTTTATCCCAGCATTCAAAAAAATATTTTGCAAACATTTCTTCGCTTATTTTATTTCCATTCAAACGAATCCTTTCACGAACTGTAACAAGATGTGGCGAAGTAAAAAGACCTTTGACGAAATCAAAGTCGGTTAGAATTTTTTCAACCGTATAAAAAAAAAAAAATAAAACAAAATAAACCTGTACGGATCTGACTTGTATCTCCACTTTGATTAAAATGTCTTAAGATTGAATCTACAAATGCACTTGTTGAGCCTTTTCCCTTAGTACCAGCAATATGAATCACATTTAACCTATCAAAGACACTAGGCTTTTTATTAGATACATTAAAGAGTTAGTGTAAATACAAATTAATACATAAAATTATTGATACGTATAAATGAAATGTTTTTACCTCATATCCGATCGTTCTACAAAATTCCCTTAACTCTGGCAAACTTTTTTCATTCAAACGACCACCTGAAGTACGAATAGCTTCTAATATCGAAGAATTTGTTTGTAAAGAATTTAAACGATTTACTGCGTCCTTATTAAGCATTTTTTTTTTAAAAAAAAAATCCAAAATTAATAAATAAAGAGATATATATATTGAAAGTTACGAAAAAATGTATTACATCGTAAGTGCGATTGTCTTGCATTTCAGCGGGTGAATTTTTAGTATAATTATACTTTTTATGATATAGATTTCTTGTTAAATTATAATAAAAGTTCCGATTAATGCTATGACATAAGGTTGAACCTTTTTGCATTCGTTTCTTTTTTTTTTTTTTAAAAAAAAAAAAAAAGTATCGAAAATAGATTTTTCTGGGCTCAAATTTTTACATAAAAGACATGTGCTGAAAATGTGCACATGATTTTAAAGTTTGCGCGCGTCACACAAAGGTTAAATTCGTTTACTACACCTTCCGATGGTCGTATGCTTTTTTCAAAGTCAAAGTCCTATTTTGAATTTTAAATTTTGATGCTAAAAATATTCTACTGTAGCATTTGATAAGTGCTATTTTCACTAATTAGGTAATCATAGGATAAATTAAAAATGTTTTCATATCTCCCGAAAATGTATCTAAATAAATTTTGGATTTTCGTTATGAATAACGTGAAAATGTTCAACTACTACTTTATTATAATAAAATAATCTAAATAATATGAGATTATAACAAAAGTTATTGAAAAATTTGTATGCTAATTTATATTAATATTTTTTAATAATCAATTTTTAAAATATTATTATATTATATTTGTAAATTAATATAATAATTATAATACTAAAAATTGTAATATTAATTTAAGTATACTAATTAATGTATAGCACTGCCCAAGATATCCCGGGTATGATACAAAATTCCTGAGTGGGGGTGTTATATCATGGGTGTATTTTGTGATAATGCATTATCCTGATTTAAAATGAATGCTACATTACACAGAAACCTTAATTATTATTATATATATATGTTCGGGTAACATCTCCATATGCTCAAAATTTACTTTATGCTTTGAAATTTTTTTTTAATATTTTCGGAATATGTTTAGTCAATTGCAATTTATGTAGTTATGTAAAGTGTAAAGTATCCTTTTTATTATAAACCCTGCATTTATTAATAACTGATTTGGAAAATGTAGAAACTAGAAAAGACTTTTATAGAATACTATATATAAACGCGTTTTAAAAATCATAGGTTATAACTTCGTGTTTGTCACTTTTTTCTTCAAAACATTATTTATAAATTTTAATACTATTAAAAAACTCATATTCTAAAAACATGGTTTGTGGAAATGTTTGAGCTCGTCATGCTAGAGCTAGAATTTCATAAAAAAAAGTCAATAAACAGCAAGAGAAAAAACTAATGATTATTGCATATTATAAACAAGGTCACAGTAAATGAGAGACGGTAAATAAAATTTGAAATAGGGCCAAAACAACTCTGTGACTAGCTTCAAAATAAAGATAAACTTATGAAGTTAGCTCCTTTATTCAAAAGCTTGCTCTAGATTCACGTCCAAAATATTCAGAGCTTGAAACTGAACTCATAAATTGATTCAAAGAGTCTTGAAATCATTTGAAAGTTGTAACATGTTACATAATTTCAAAGTAAGGCACATTCTTTTTCCAAAAAGCAATATACTAACAAATGTATCCAAATATAAGTGAAGGAAAATTTTCCCAGAAATAGGTGGATGGTTTCATGAATCGTCATAATTTAGTGAATAGAAGAAAAATTACAATAGCCTAAAGGCTTTCCAATGATTATATTGAGCTACAAAACAGTTTTTTATCATATGTACTTTTTCAAAAAAAAGAAAAGAAATATCTGTTGTTATTAATAGCAAATATGGATGAGATACCTCTGTCTTTTAATTTGTCAAATAATACTATAGTTGAGTAATGTGATATAAAAACTGTATCTATTCTGTCAATTAGTCATAAAAAAGCAAATTTTACCATTGTTTTAGGTTGTATAACCAATAGTATGAAATTATCACCCATTCTTATTTAAGCTTGTGAAAGTTCTATGCGAAGAGTTTCCCAAAAGAGTGATCATTAGAGCCAATCCAAAAGGTTGGATGAATGAATTAAAATGAATTAGTACATCGAAAATGTCTGAATGTAATGTGTAAGTCAAGGAAGAAATCTGAAATTCCTATTAGTTTTAAATGTATTTTCTGCTCATAGAACTGATTCTATAAAATATAAATTTAATAAAAAAATACAGATTTAGTAATGATTTCTGAATGGTTAACTTATCGTTTGCAGCCTCTCAATATATCATTAAATAAGTTTCAGATATTCTTTCTAATTCTTTTGATAATATTCAATTTTTATTTAATATACTAATGCAACAACAATTATTTAATATTATTAAAAAAGCAAAAATTGAAGTATATAAATACATCAAGTTGTTATAAGTAGTATCATCAGAAA